TATTCTTCTCACACAGACCCGTGCGTTCTGAGGCCACAAGAGAAAAAAAACCCACCTGACTCTAAATGCAAAAGTCACCGAGTTTTTTTTTATTACAGCAACAACATTTTAGAGTTAATATATTATTAGGAAGAACCGTCGATTCAACGTTTTTACACGTGTGCCCTATTTTACTGACAATTGCAATAAAAATGAAATCTGATTTTTACGACAGTCTTGTCTGAGTAATTCGGACACGCCAAATATCCGGATAAGAACTAGACTCAAAGAAAGCATTAATACTGTCACAAGTATCCACGACCGGTAGTTAAGCAGACGATATATCATATATCAGCTCTTTAAGCATGACAAACTGGATTCATCAGACGATTTACAATCAATAATAGTCGGCTTGTTTCTTTTGTAACACGAAAACGATAATATATATATAAAATAAACAGAAACGCTATATAGCTGTTTTGCAAATGTAAAATGTCTGCACGCAAATAAAATTATAAGGAATAAGTATAAAAATAATCGCGAGGAATATTATGAAGAGTGAAAACTTTGTAATACCCCCCCCCCACCCCCAAGACAGTATGGGTTGAAGGGTTCCAGTCACATTCTAAAAGGCTTATATCGCATTCATATCTAGAGGTGAACTATTTAAGGCACGAACGGCAGCTTAGTGGCATTTTTGTTAAGCCACTGTATTGTTATGTTACGTTTACACTCTCTGAATACTTACGATGTTCATTTTTTTATAGAAATATACATTACTTGTAAAAAGTTAAAAGTGTAATTTTTAATCACAAATAATAGTTGTGTCGTTATAGCTAAGTGCATTTACGAATCAACTAATATTAGAAACCAATAGGAGTTAACCCATTACTGCACTTAGGTGACAATATCACATGAAACGTAATTATTGCATCCTTCTTTAATTTTATTTTAAATTGGTTTTTTAACATTATTTTCATATGTTTGAAAGGTTATTTAATATACAATCATATGAAAAATAAAAATACATAAAATCACATCTAAACGTACATCATTGCATAGAAGTACTTCATGTAGAAATACTTAACGAGTGTTTAAATTTTAAATCGATCAGAATGAGAAGCTGTTAAAAATGAATGTTTACGAATCTGCCATATGTTAGCAAAGAGAAGTAACTGCATGTAGCACAATCGATTAGTCACAAACAGAGTTAGCTTTCCTTAGATGAAGCCTAACGAAATCACCGTGATTAGCGTTGGAGTTTACAACCTTTCAGATTAAAAAATCGCTGATCTATAAAAAAAAAGACATAATGACATGTAAATGTGAGTCGAGCATCGCAAATGAAGTCTTTTAGTTTAATGTTGTGTATTCTTCGTCAAAATGTCAGTCTTTTTGCAACCAAAACATAACCTAGCAAGATAATATTTAATGGCATGCGTAATGAGTAATATAGTCCATACGAATCTTAGTTTATCATCTATAATACGTGCTCCTTTGTAGTTAAAACTATTATATGTACTCATGAAATTCCATACAAATGTTAATCAGCCTAAATTCATATTAATTTGGTTTGTTTGAGAGTGACACGTTTTCAACAACAATAATTAAAGCTAGAAAAAAGCTCGAGTCATATTTGCACTTCAAGGGCATATAACGACTTTGTAGTTACATGTATACTGGCGTTAGAAAACCTTAGATAGCTCTCCGAGGGGTCCATACTCTCGTAGCCTGAAAGGGCGAATCGACCCTCATTAAGCCTAGATTACACAGATGGCTCTCCGTGAATTTCTTTCGAGACCTGAGTACAACCCCATAAGTTACCTGGCCTGGTTCCTCACATGAAAAGGTTCATTGTCCCTGGCAGGATTCGAACCACGGCGGTGAATGACATGTGAAGGACTAGATATAATCCTGGACAGGTAATATGCGACCTAAAACCTGCTATATTTAGAATCCGAGTACATACAAATAAATCACAGAAAAAAAGAAATTTGTGCTTTAAACGTCAGCAGACATTATAGAATTTGCATAATTGTAACTAGACATACAAAAGGCGCATACACAAAACAATCAGGTAAACCTAACGCACGAGATAAATTAAAAAACAGAATATAACTCTATACGTTTCTTTTAAAAACGCACGATGCTAATCCGTTCCTAAAAGCAATCAAGTTTTAATATATTGCGTTAGAATTGAGCAACATAAGTTATTACGTACATTGTACGTATTTTTCCAAAGGAAGTATATTTATAAGAAATAAAAAAAGTGTTCAATTGCAAAAGCACGAGTCCAAACACTAAATGTTTTACAGAAGATCATCAGTGTAACACTTGCTTATTTGTCTTCTAGACTTCAAAGAAGAATAAAAAACGTGCTATGCCCAAAACGTGATGACAGATGCGTACTCTTATATTTCAAAGCGTTTTAACATTATAATTATCAAACTGAACCCGTGCACTCGTCTCATATTCAAAATGTGTGGTTTATCATAAATAATGGGAATTATTCTTGTTTAATTTTTCAACTCGCTGATGGATATTTATTCATGATAAGGAATAAAAGTGTGAATTATGAAAATATTTTACCGAGAGTTTCTTACAAAGAAATAATTTAGTGTGATGTTTTGTCTGGGAAAATAAGAGAAACACATAGTGCTTTATATGAAACATAAAAACTGCAGGTTAACAGAAAGTGTGTTTTTCGTGCGTTGCGTATCATCTGATTTTACGTTCAACTTGATAATCTTGTGTTAACAAAATAAGGCGTTTTTTTTCTGAGTGCATTCTGGAGCACAAAGATTGCATATGAAATGCACACTTTTCTTTCCATTCTTTATATAAATCTGACTTACATTTTCGATTCTGCAATGAACTTAGATTTATATATCTACATATACATGTTATCATGATTTAGTCTTGATAATCATTTTCTATGTCTCTTTTCCATAAAAATTAAACAAAAGGAACACAAACAAACAACAACAAAAAATAAAAGTCAAAACTAAAGAACTAAAATCAATGAAAAAAAAAACACCGAAAGCCCACAAAACAATACAAAACTGGAACAAAACAAACCAAACAAAATTACGAAACAAAACATTCCAACTGGAAAAAATGTTTGAAAAAAAATTTTGGTTTTTTTTAAAACCCCGTTTTTTTTGGTTTTTTATGATAGGGGTACAATAAATATTAATAATCAATTTTAAAAACCCAAAACTGGCCAAAAGGGCCGAAAACAGACAAAAGGGTACCCCAAGGGAACGAAAAAATAAAAAAGGCAATACAGCCTTATTCCCAAATGAACAAACTTTTTTGCATTGCTTTTTTCCTTTCCCAAACAACTTTTGAACTAAAAACACGGAAAAGGGTAAAATTTAAAACCAAAAAAGGGACCCAACGTACTGAAAAAATTTAATTCAATTTTTGGGGGTTTTAAAAAGTTATAAAAGAAAACTTTTTTTTAATTAACCCTGAATAATTATTTGAAAATTTAAAATAAATAAACTGGGTTTTTAAAAAAATGGAAAGATGAAGGGTTTATTTATTTTTTAATAGCTTTAGTATTCATCTACATTTTTGGATATATTTTCCTTTCATTTCGGGAAAGGGTTTTCAATAATATACTGTTCGTATATATTTATCAGATATCTTAAGAAAAACAGATTGACTATTTCCATTCTATCATATAAAAAACTACAAAAAAACCAGTTCATTAATCGGTCAATTGGCGTAATTTGCTTTGGGGCTTGACTTGAAACCCATGTGCTTAGAGTATTGATTTAAGATAGCAATTAATAATTTGGATTATTTGCTTTGATGGGTTTTTTTCGTCATTTATAGGTGGGTGATCTTAAGTTGTGTAAGCTAATAATATATTGTCTATGGAAGTGGAAATATACACGTTTTTGTTTTTGCATTCAATTTATTTCTAATATTGAAAATTAACTCTTTTAAAAACCGAGTGTTATTCTGGGACCTAAAGGAACATCTCTTAACCTCACCTATTATGTTATCAGCTTTGCAATTTGTATATACAGTGTATGTCGGCACGGCAATTATAACTTAATGTAGCGGTTGTCATTTTCAATACATATAGCCAAAGTGGACCATTAACGCTGAATTAGTATTTGTAAGTTATATGAGGTTAATTATAAAATTTATTCGATATTAATAAAGCATGGGGAAATAATGGTTGTTACATATTGTTGCCGGCCCAGTCTGGGTCATTTAATATTACGTTAAGTCATTTACATGGAATGTACGTAAGTGCCATTTGAAATGAGTAAATTACATTCTTTGTTCACTTCACTATAATCTTTTTTCAAATACATTTTCAAAATTGTCAAAAAAATTAACAATGTATCTTAAGGCATGCTGCTAAAATACGGTCAGTTATCAAATAAATCTAATTTACGGGATTCATATACATGTATTCATATACATGTATATATAAACCTATAAAATAAATGATATATATAACAGTTTAAAAATGAGATATCTCGAAAACAATAAATATTTGTTATAATATACAAATATATATTTACTTACACTACTTTAGTTGATTTATACAGGTAAATATATAAACATTGTATATTAAACATTAAAGGATATAACCTTTTTCTGATACTTTAAGTGTACTATAAAATATGACATTGTTGTATAACCATACATTGTATCTCTTTGTAGTTTTACAACCAACTTGTATATCATATTTTATCATGCTTGTATATCATATTTACTTCGTTACATGAAAGAGTATTTAAAGATTAAGTTAAGAGATAATAACTGACATATATACCTTCGGACTGGGCTATATAACACCGTAACCACAATGCGTTTAAACATATATTGTACGGTTGTACGATTTTCAATTTTAACCTCGTTAAAGTTTAACATTTAGGCGTTTTAATATAAAATGATATAAAGCTGGAAATTGTTTATAAACATTGATTTAAAGACATGACAGCTGATTCACGATATCGACATTAAAATGTTCTAAAAATAGAAACTGTACTCACATTCCCATGATTCTGTCCGATCGTTTAGTACTTCCTCAATTCGTTAAAGATTTTACACATCCCAGATTCAATGTCAGTCTCAAAGCTTTATTCTGTTTTTTTTCCAGATTAGCAAAAGAATATTCTGCAAAGCAGTCTTATCGTAAATTTGCATGCGAATACGTGAGGTTTTTATATTCAAGCATGGCGAATGGGTATTCTGTTATACACTGCACTATATTGTATACTTTGTTTACATGTCTAAAAATAGAACTACCACATACGCTCAGACGCTTGTATGAAAATACCAATATTGCTGTAAATAAAATAGCGCACTATTCTTGTACAATATTCAACACATAATCTATATAAATCGCCATTATAGAAACAATGGTTCTGAAACGTATTCATCCACACTAATTTATTTACTCTTATTTATTAGTCTTCCACTTTATTCTCTCACTGTACGGTCATTTTCTGTGTGCGGTCGGCTATTTTATCGATTTATAGCGAAATACATTTAAATAGCTTAAAGGAATCAATCTGTTATCTTGTAAACATCATTCTTTCATCAGTATAACCAATTATACGCCTGGGAAACGTATATTAACATCTTATACAAGATCTTAATAGAAAAGAGAAGCTTTCTTAATAGGTTTGTTAATGTAAAGTGTGTTGATTTATTAAACTGTTTAATTAAGTTTGTGTATATTTATCATCAATTAATCACTGCGGTATAAACATTATACGTATTTACACGACCAGTTTTCGTAATGCTTTTTACTGGAGTATTGCATTTCTACTTAAATATTTATTTAAAATGATTTTTAAAAAATTTATTGAAAAAGCCATAAAAATTAATGCTTTACTTTTGTATGTAAGATATCCAATAATATTTAGGGTAAAATAAAAAGCTATTTTCAACAAAAAATTGTGAAAAGGGTTTAATAAAAAAAAATTTAATAGTAAAAGGGGTATTTTATTTAATTGGGTTTTAAAGTAGTATTGTTGTTTTTTAGAAGTGGTAGAGTGAGTAGTAGTAGTAGTAATTATAATAATAGTAATAATAATAGTAATAATAACAAAACAACAAAAACACTAAAAAACACTAAAACATTAAAAACTCAAATTATTAAAACTAATATGGCATGCTAATGGCATGCATTCAAGAATGTTTTTATTATTACTTCTCAAAACAACGGGCAATTATCAAAAAATGTATCCTTATTTTGAACAGATTATTCTTGTGTATGTTTGCTATTCCTCAATGTTATCCCAAAATAGGATAGTTTCTTTGCATATCAGCATTTGTTATAATATGTTTAAATAATTGATAAACCTTCAAACAAAAGTATACACTCAACAACATATAAACTATTAAAATCATAAAGTAATGAGATACTGCAATGTCAGCTGCGAACGACTTGTGGTCAGAAATTGAAGTGAAAATATTCTAGTGAAGTTAAATTTGTATTTTCTAATTCCTAATAATTTCAATTTGATATAATATATTTCCAGTATCATATTTAACATGGGCTAAATATACCACCACACGAAATTATGGTTAGTGCAAAGATCAATAATGGCCGGCGACTGCCGCAGATGTCACTTTGTATGAACTCATTAATATCTTTAATATTGTTATTAAATATTGTTCTTTTTCAATAATTAGATGAAAATGAAAAGGAACAGACAGAATCCTCTTGAACTTAAAGTCAAAATGTTGAAATGTGAAAGTTCAGACAAACAAATTTAATTTTAAAAAGTTCATTTATTTTCTGTATTGTTTAAATAAGGTGGTTGCATATAGTTACATCTCCAATTGTTAGAATTACATTCATAACTCATTAAACAAGCAAACGAACGAACGAACAAAAGAAAAAACGAACGACCAAACAAACAAATAAACAAACAAACAAACAAACGAACGAACAACATTTATTAGAACCCTCCGAAATATCATTCTAGTATCAAACAAGTTATAGAACAGAACTCTAATGTTTTGTTATCAGAAGATACTTTAATGATCAGAGCTAATTTAAAAATTAATTGCATGACATCATGTGGAACTGCATTGTACCGTTGATTTATTTTTATAAAGTAATTTAACTTTTTATTTATTTTTATTTTTCAATTAATATACAATATAGACTATTTTTGTATCACCTATAGACAACAAATTCAATCTCAATTTAATGTTGTTTCATATATCTTTTAAACAACAACGATAATTTAAGAGTTTCATTACTGCAGTGACGCCTTTCATCTCAAAAGGCCATCTCAACAATAGTTTTAAATTGCTCATCACTTGACTAGAGGCAATGTTTGATTAAATCTTTATTTAGTCAGATGGGTTAGGTGAAAAAATTTTATGCATCGATGGTAATTACTGTTGACAATCCCTGGTTTTTATTTGCATGTAGTTTAAATAGAAAATTATAAATTTGAAGAAAGATATTCGAACTGGTATGCACTGGTTAAGGTTTTGAACATGTTTTGAAATATGTTCCACCGATTTTCAAGAAGAACCCCATTCCCTCACAACCTAGTTTGAATACCTCTGCTGGTACAATGCCGATTTTAAAGATATTTAGTACATAAAAATCCGCACTTTAAAAACAAGTAAAGAATTTTCAAATTTCAAAAGGGGCCATATTTCCTAGTTTGAGATAACTCTTTAAAGATCTTCTTCTCTTTTTCTACTGCTTGGATCATTAGGGATATAATTCAGCGTTAATCTTTAGATTCACGTCTTGCTGTACATATACATGTATTTTGAGTGGTTCGGTTTTTTACAATGTCGTAGGAAAAAAACCCGAAAGAAGGTGAAATAAAGGAATGCGCCGAGCTGACACTGGTTTGCTTTCGTGTTTTTAGCTTTTCGCCATATCGAATCGAAAACCTATAGACTGGACGTAATGTGCATTATTTTTAATATGAACCCGTTTGGTTCTATCGTTTAACGGAACCGTATGCATCAAGAAGGCTGCAGGTTCCTTACAACATTGATATAGCTGCAGAAAATGTACCAAGGCAGAATAGCACAAATATTACAAAACAATTTTGCAGCAGAAAGTGTAAAATATATTCCATTATCTTTCAATATGGAAGACTTAGAAAAATCAGTAGTTTAGCTTAAATAATTACTGAATTCTAGCCAATCATGCCTGTCATTATTACTTTCACATTTCCAGCAATGGTAACACCGCTGAAAATACACATTGGAAAAGGAGGCGTAATTCGACAGTTGTCACTTTCTATGAACGCATTAATATTTCAACGATTTATCTACTTCGCTAATTATTTGAAGATAAAGATAAAAAAACACAATCATCTTTGACTAAAAACCAAAATATTGAAAAGATTGTGAAAGTTCAGATAAAATAAAATTAAAATTTTAAAAAAAGTATATTTCTGTGATAAATACGAGGGAATAAATTTCATTGGGTAGTAAAATGTCTAGTCGTTATAATTACTTTATACACACATTCATTGAACAAACAAGCAAACAAACAAACAAACAAACAAAACACGTATTAAAACTCTTCTGAATATCGTTCTAGTTTGAAACAAATTTTGTTATCAGAGGACAATGTGATGATTAGGAATAAAATCGTATAATTGCAGACTACAGGTGTCAATGGCACGAACAATCTTAGATGGAACTACATTGTTCTTCGGGTTGTTATTTAAATAAAAGCAATCTAAGTTAATCCTCTGATAATTTAAATGGATCTGGCTCAATTTTATTTTCTTATAAAGTTGAATTAAAAATTGTCTCTTGATCAGTTAATATTATGCCATGACTCAAAATGAAATTAACAACTTGTAACCGTGGATAATTACTCAACAAATTTAATTATTATACGCTCGCATTAATAATTGATGTTCAGTTTTTAATAAAGATGAACCCATGAATTTAACGATTGGAAATTTCAAATTTTAAACTCATTTAATTTCATTTTATCAATTAAAAACATATCTGTGTCATGTGTGTCTAAAGCCATTTGTAAAAAAATTATTATTAAAAACATATTTTATATCAAAAATCAATTTTTGAAACTACATGTACATGTTTATACTTCTTGATCAGCCTTATCTATTTGGACAATTATATGTAAATACTCAGCAAGTTTTACTTAATGATTACATAAGTCATTTTCAGTCAGTACTGTTTTGTAACATTTTCTTATTCAACAAATCGTATTCAGCGGGTTTTGAAATTATTTTATTATTATTATGACCAAATTGATTAGGTAAATGTACTTTGGCAAATATATATGATTTCTAAAAAAGACATACTCTTTAATTATATAATTCATTGTTGTCCTGTTTTCTTCTTACATAACTTAGATGAAAGATATTTTTTTAATACAAAAGATGAATTATCAGAAATTAAAACCATATTTCCTACCTTTGGCACAGATTTCTTAAGACTACATCCGTTTCTGTCAAATGCCTCTTTTGTAATCTCAACATTTTTTTAAAATTCTTGTGTAATTTTTGAAATCCAACGCAAAATTTATCTGCTATGCTTTATAACAAACAGAAGTTCCTCACTAACGATCCTGTCTTAGATCAATACTATTGTTACAAAAGTCCTTGTTGTTCACAGTTTGATGTATCTTTCATTTGCAAGATGCTCAAAAGACTGAACGTAAAAACGAACACTTTGAATTCTGAGAATTTCTTGCATCTCTAATTAAACAACATAAAAATTGTCATTGATAGTGCTAAATAACGAAGCATGCGACAATCAACTGATTTATGACCATTTTACATAATATTTTTAGATTTATGCAAAAGCAGTTCTTTCAGTATTGAAAGAAGCCAACGATTCTAGTTTAAACACTATGCGATGCACCCAATATCGAATAAACTAAATCAGGTATTCATTCGTTTTGTCACACTCCAATTTAATCTGTATTATGATCAAAACGTTTTCTTTTACCGATGTTTTCTGTAAAATAAATAATTTGTTCTTTAAATAATATCAATTTGAGCGGTAACATTTGTATGGTTTGGTTAAAATTCTATATCAATAGTTCCGAAATATTATTACGTGGGATATCAATATATGCGAAGCAACTTTAATTTCATTTGTAATATGCAGCTGGCATGGACCAAGACAGAGCTATGGATGAAACGGTATTATTTCGATACATGCGATATCGATACAAGAGGACTTATACTTCATAATGAAATGAAAGTCATCAAATACATGTATTCTGTAAAATAAAGCAATA